TTGTAGCCTTCATGGGGGTTCTAAGTTACATTCCACCCTATATAGTTCGCTTGTCCCTAAGTTGTTTGTGACAGCTGAGCGCCAATCACCCGTTGCCACACTGTGGCCATATAATGTGTATGGAAATTCCCGGGAAAAAATCGTTTCATCAACTCGTTCATTGCAATTCAAATGTTTTCTATCAGTCTCTTGAGTCTAGCGACCAGAGATTCTGTTGTCAAGACCAAATTCATGTGCGAGTACTGTCTAGTTTGGATTCAAGTTGAACATAAGGTTGACGGAAACTGAGGGACTGTCCCTACCTGATGAGTACCAAGAGGGACAAAACCGTTGGTGAGCTGTCGAGAGGTTTTCAACAATGTTATGAGTAGTGTATTGAGTCTAGGTACGCTCGTATTTGAATCCGTGCCTTGTAACCCTAAGTCGCTAAACATAAGCGTTGTGTTCGCTTTGCTGGATGACTTCACATTTATGGAATTGTATAACAAAAAACACATGTCGACGCTGCACATTCTAAACTTAAAAAAACAATGAGTTCTACTTTTCGATAAATACACTCATTTGCAAATCAATTTGGTTTTCACGAGAGACTCAACTTAATCTCCCGTTTATGATGCCCGCCAACTGAATATGCTGCACACAGGCCGCCTCGTGATTCAGTTGGCACGATATTCGAGATATCGCAGTATATTTTCATAAAGGAAACTAGTGACAAAACCAAATTGATTTTCAAATGAGTGTGCTTCTCGAAAACAGTGCAATTTGGGTTCAAGTAGAACATAAGGTTGACGGAAACTCGTGGACTGCGCCTATCTGATGAGCCCCAAGAAGAGCGAAACCGGTCCTGGGCTGTCGAAGAGTTATCAGCAACCTTGTGAGTAGTTTCCTTCATGAGTTCTACTAGTCTTTTTCTACTTTCCCCTATTAAGCGCGAACGTCATTTGTTTTTGTCTTGCGATGTACTTGTCCTCCCTTAGGGTTAATCTTTTATTTAGGCATCTAGCTTCTTTCACAACTTTACAATATTGCAAGACAAATGGGTACACTTGGAACGGAGACAATTTTACAATTACCGAATATTCCTTACACGCACAAGCTATCAGTTCACACACAAAATGTGACATTCCCTTGTAATCCTCCCCCCCCCCCTGCCTCTAAATTTCCTTCCAATCGTGGCTTCAATCGTGACCGTCATCATGTTTGATAATGGATTCCGCAATTTTTACGTTAATTAAAAAACTCGTAATTTGCCAATCCGGGAAAAGAATGTTTGACCAATGACAGAATGGGTTTATAAATTACTGTCAATGATCTGGCGTAAATGAGCACTTTGGATATCCCACAATTTCTCCAAATCGCTGACTACCCCGCACCAAACGGATCACATAGGAAAGTGACATTATTACGGATCCTAACGGGCGTCGAAGGACACTGGACCCAGTGAACATCTGGACTAGGAAACACAGACATGGGAGTCCCGGTTCTGTTCATTTGGGTGACTTATGCGCCTCAGTATGCACACAGACACTGTTGTGCACCACATTAGTGGAACTGTTCCCTAAGGACACACCTACAACAAAGTAAGCTTGCGGAAGTAGCCTTACGTCATAAGAATAACACTCAGTTTTTCCGAATCGGTTATGTAAACCGGTTGGACGGATCAGTGTGTCACACAAATGCAGATCGATAAATTTTAGTAAAGGGAAAATCCTAAAAACATCTGGAAATTTATCTCTGCCTGGCGGATTCAAAATAGCTGTTGACAAAATATTTGGTTCACATTTCTAAGAGAGCCGGAGTCGTACTTATACTAGCTTCTGAAAGTTCAAATTTTGTAAGAATATGAGGTGAATGCGAATGAGCTTTACTCCAAAACAATTACGAAAAAACCATAAAGGGAATGAGATATCGTCCCCAAAGTTTCAAATGTAGTTTGTATAAGAAGGTTTATCTTTTGGTGAATTTGAGCGTGTTTGACTGTAAACCAACGTTTGTGCGTGCAGTTACGTTCTGATAGTTAGTCTTCTTGATACGAGGAGGCTCGAGGACGGGAACACTCGGTTTAAGAGCCCACACTAATCGAATCATACGATACAAATGAGTCGTAAACGTCCAAGTGTTGTGAGTAATGAAGGCAAAGGAGAAGATGGTCACGACTGTCTGCAGACTGCTCCATCAGATACAGTTGGCTTTCCAAATGCTCATTCAATGTTCAGATTTCTGTAGGGGTTCTCTCTCAACGTGACGAACAATTCTAATTTTGCTGTGACTAAAAGTAATCTATTTCGGAATCCCATATATTCCTCATTCTGAACACAAATCTAGCCCAATACCTAGAGGCGTTTCCTTGTTCTTTGGCAGTGTCACTGTCGTTGACCGAGGCACTGAGTAGGTCTTTTAATAAATAAGTCTGTTTTCTATAGAGGAAAATGTCGGTAGCTCAGGTAGCGTAATGGCCGTTGGCTTGTTCGCTGAGCTGGGTAATTTGACAAATTTCACTCCAACATCGACCAGACTACGACGGCTAGGGATGCCAGGCTCAAAGGTCACGTGGGCATCGGCGAATGAGGACACGGGATAACAGAACAACCAATAGAACAACCCGACCGAACAACTAATCGCGGTCAAAGGTCATCCCCGGCTACCAGCACGTATATTAAAACACACACGTAACGCTACTCAATGCACAACCACTAACACATCCCGACGCACAACTTCGATCTCCAATAACGCACTAATGATGGCAACTCGACTGGTGATGAAACGCTTGCAATCAAATTGCCCAGCTCAGCGAACAAGCCAACGACTTAATAACACAGTAGGAAAATGGGCACAGTGGAAGTACAGTAATTGTAACCCTCTGACAATATGGCCGCCGATTCACTGTTTGCTGGCGAGTTCCTTGCAGTGCTAGTTACGCCAAACAGACACATGTAAGAGTAGTCTGGTTGCAGTAACTTAGGATGCATTACGATCATCTTGAGTGTTTTAGATACAGTTCCCCATAGCTTTTCAATGTCTCCCATAGTCAGAATTCCTGAGGTTTCGCGCATTTCTGAGTTATTCTAACCGAAGAAGCTGGATGGGTAGCTACCTGTTCAATCCTAGTCATTCAACCCACCGTAAGCCGGTTGTGAAAATAACACGTCACAGCTGCCCTTGAAAATATACATGCATAGCTATTTCATCCTAATTGGGAATAATCTACTGTGCATATCTCACGAAAATCCAGAAAGTTTTGGCCCACGGCCATCCGACTAGTAGTCTGACTACTTAACTTTTCGGCGACGAACGTCTGATCAGTACAGCGGTTAACTCGCACTGCACACTACTAAGGATGTCACTCGGCGACGCGCTGTCCCGTCATTCTTATCTTTTAGTGGTTGTGTCTTTTCATTTGCTCCGCTTTTATGTAATCTCATTTACTTTTCTTGTTACCCACATCTTGCCTTTCTTTGAAGTAAACACAAGTCTGATGACTAAACTTGAGCCGTTCATTTCTTAGAATCCACTGTACTCCCGTTTTCTCAGTTGCAACCGTATGCGGAGTTGCAGGGTGAATCACTCAATTCTCCGACTGAAGAGCTCACCTGTTGGTTGCGAATATATTGCCTACCGCCTCCCATATAGTAACCAGGTGCTTACGCACAGTGACGTACCAGGCGCTCCTTGGATAACAGTTGAGGATTTTAGTTTTTTTGGGACATTTACTGTCGATTTTCTATCCACGAGACCAAAACGTTTGGGTTCAACAAATAGAGCATTTTGTTGCAACTTGAATTGCCTCTCCAGTTAATTATCTGAAGCGTCTCCTATCGCCCTCTGATAGCCTTCAACAAGGATGCGCGTTCGCCACCCAACTAAACGATCTTTCATTTCGTCGGAATTTTCCAAGATATTCACGAATTCTAAGCCATCCTCAGAACAGACGCTTATGAGTTCAGGGTTTGGTTGCCATGGTGACAGATGGAGAGCAGATCCAAGCATAATTTCGGAGTTATCCCCGTAGTAATTGTTTCTCAAGAAGGACATTCACTGTCAAACGATGGTCAGTGACTTTCGTACATGCGCGAGGTTAAAGCAGGTAATTCCTGCGCTTGCCAGTGTCCCGCTAAATGGTTGACAGTGGTATCATGCCACATTCATACTATCGTGGCCGCTAATATAAATAAATAAATAATGGCATCGGGTTGAACTAACCGTTCAGCGCGGCTGTATCACTCCGTTGTTAGTGAGCGATCGTGGTAACCTCTCTCGGTTATTAAGTTTATAGATAGACGGGTATGACTTAATAGAACATCAACGGGTTGCTTCCCGGCATATTGGATTTTGCATTTTCCGGCTAATTAAACTCTGCTCACTTCGCAGAAGGAATAGACTAACCATCTTGTTGTATCGGTGCCTCACTGATCACCAACAAGGACAGCTGAACAAGCTAACGGTCAACCCCGTTTTCCACCTAAGCAGTCTGCTTATATGATAACTTAATGCAAGTGATGGGTAGAACAGTGTGTGAAACTCATGCTTGTTAATTTGGTGCTAACGGTCCTTTCGCGTGCCTGAGACTGACGTTGGCCTAAGACAATTCACCGAACTCTACACGAAATAAGTGTTCTACATTGTAGAATCTTCCATACTGGGATAAGTTTCTGGAAAAATACGATAGTATACCGGGTATACCGCGCTTTGCCGTGACCCATGGACCAGGTCTTGAATAAATGGTGCAAATGGAGTAAGTAGAAAGAAAATTGCACGCAACTCAACTGCACTGAAGAGAAAAACCCAAATTAGTCTTGATATGTACGAACGAACGGCGGATAATTCGTTCAAATGCCAGCCGAAAAAAGTGAGGTCTACACAATCGTGTGCGCACCAGGACAGAGCCGAACCATGTAAATGTCAATGCAAACAGTTTGCCAAAACAATGATCAAGCACGCAAAAAAAGCTGATGAACCGGTCCATTGATCTACAGAAAAGTCCAAAATGACAAAAAACTTACCATTCACGTTTGTTTGCAACTCAGTACTCCATAAATCATTTGCCGCGCCATGGAACATGTCTCGATTGACTTTGCGAGATAAAGTATGGTTTTCTAAATCCAGCGAAATCGATAATTGATGGTTTCGAGCTCTGACATTCGAGCCGAATCGTTTATGAGACATAATGTTTTGTATTGTGAACACATGAAACCCAGGCAAATCTGAATTTGTTAGGTAGAGTCCTGGTTGGCAAGAATCTAGGAACAGTGGATCTCCAAAAAGGAAGAAACTGAGATATACTATCGCCGCTGAACAGCACAGTGCCAGCAGTGTCTTGACAGCTCTCGACAAGATCACTTTGAGCGACCAGGTAGTCTCAGCATATTGTCCATTTTGACAAGTAGGATCCATGCTTTGCGAATTGCGGTTCCATAAACAGTTTGTCATTTTGATGAACGAATGTATGTCCCAATTATTTGTGCAAATCCAAAGGTGATTTCCTGCACGGACCACGGAAAAGTGCAGAATTCTGTAAGAAAATATGCTTGTTTTAATGGTGAATGACACTTGTGTAACTGTGAGTCTTTTGGTTCTAGAATGCATAAATACATCATCCAAGTAGACAACCAATTTTTCTCGGGATCGATTGGTTCCACTAGATGTTAATTAGACGGACAAATGTAGTTTCCATCTCAGGTAAATTAAGGCGTTTGATGCAACGGAACGAAGTTGAAACAGAGTGTTTGCCACACTGCGTCACAGTTGTCGAATATTTGACGTGTGAACTGTCGCTCCAGGCTATTCATGTTAGGTTATGTGGCACCAGGTAGCACCTCGCCACAGTCCTACACGCCGTTGTCAGTAGGACAGCCGAACCGAGTATGAGTTTCCGGGTTGGAGAATGCTCCAGGTGGCAGCACGGTCTATACGCTTGCTACCACTGATGATGCTAACCCGTCGTGCTGAACTTATAGTTTACAGTGGAGAGAGAGAGTGAGAGAAAGACAACTGTCGGCGTAGTTCAACTAATCTTACGTCGACGGTTAGCAAGCGGCGGTTTGACCGGCCGGCCGGCTGACTGGCTGGCTGGCTAGCTAGCTAACGACCTGTGCCGGAAGCCTGAACGTGAACATGTGTGTGTGTGTGTGTGCACATGCCACCGTTGTGCGGATCGGGTCCAGGTTACACAGGCAGCACGCATGGGGCACACAGACATGGTTATGGGTAACCAGGCCTAGACAGGTACACAGAAAACTAACCGATCCACACACTAGTGACGTAGTTGCACATGAACCCGATAAAGCTACACAACGTGACATCAGCACCCGGTTGCATATCCATAGATGGGTGCACAAGCACGTGCGAACGGCCACAACGTTAACCCAAACGAGATCCAGGCAACGTGTTTCCTCCAGCCTGACACCATGTATCGGACTTGAACCAAGGGATGTTTGGTGAACAGAACGGAAACCAGTGCCGGACTATACGAAGCAGTGAATTGTGTTTGCACACAGTTTCACTCATATGACTGCTCAGGGGCACTATTTTTAGGGGCGTCTGGAGAATAGGTCAGTGTTAAAAATGCAGTGGCACAAGTTCTGTGCACGAAAGACGTTTTTCTAAATGCGCATTCTTTCGATCCTCAGAAGCAGCTCTCCTTCACAATAATTTATATGTTATATTATGTTGTGTTATATATTATGTTATCTTACTATGTTATACTATGCTATATATTATGTTGACTATGCTATATAGTGGGCATCGTACGCTATAATTTATAAATTATATTATGCATGTTATGTTACATCATCATATTATTATTGTAACTGCAATATTATATCATTTATGTTATATGCGCATTAGTAAACATTATAATTGCAGTTTGTATCACATGTTGCCACATCATATCATTTTTCATACTGTTTTAATTCAAAAAATTCAAATTCACACATTCGGAACTCGAATAAAAGCACAATGCATTCGTTGAGACGGAATGAAAGAAGGAAAGTGCTACAGTTCAGGACGCACTTGTCCTTACTACAAGGTTACTGCATTCTCGATAAAGCTGATCGACTGGATTTACAATGAAGTTTTCAACACATCAGCATTGTGGGATACTTTCAAAGTCTGGTTCAGTGATTGTGACTCAGAAAAATTTATCACCTTTGATGATGTAGGATAAACCTCTTGTCAGAGGTCACTAATGGGGCAAACCCCACCCTGTGCGATTACTGTTAAAACCCTCAACAAGATTGGGGGTACTCAGCTGAACCAAACATGGCAACAACAGTACTCTCAATCAATCAGTATGCTCTGCCATGACGACAATTTGTAAAGACGAACTTCCGGGTGCACTTGTTTCAGGCTGCTATCTTCAAGTCCTCGCATCCATGTTTTTCGCCGTAACGTTCAACAGCTGGTTGCAAACACAGTAACGTTCTTCTGCAACAGAGACATCCTTCTGAAGTATCTAACCTGTCTATTACTTCAAAGTGCTGCTTAACTGCCGATGCAGTTATAAACCGAGTCACAAACTTTCAGGAATGTAGAGAACTTTATTTTCAGGCAATCATTCATTGAATCATTCAACAGTGCCGAGATTCTGAGAAATTTCATGGCGTATATTCAATCGCCTACATTTTTTACGAGTCAGATGGATCATCGCTTGACATCCTCCCGGAAAGAGGCATTTTCCGACTGAAACCATCTTCTGAAGACCTCTTGACGCCTACTTCAGTGGTTATTAGATGTGCTCAAGGTTTCAAACTTTTTCGGCGCATCTGCCATTAGCCAGAAATTTAAGTGGCGTTTTGAGTGCTCGCTCTAATTCGCTTACGGGGACAGTCATTGTCTCCTAAAAAGGGTTCTATGGAAAAGTCACCAGGAAAAATATCTTGCCGTCATCTCACGTACGGAATAACTAGTGACGTGCGTTCAGCCACAAACTGGTTGCCAGATGTTATGTCTTGAATCGTGTCTCGAATGAGTAGAACTCGGTGGCCGGAGGACAAATTATCCTTTAAGTGATATGTCAAACGGGTACGCTCCTCATCATCGTCATCAAAGGCAACAACATCACTGCGGTACAACCATAAAGTTCGTCCAATTATATATACATATATAATTATATTAAAAGCCCCAGAATGAAAAGAAGAGAAAGGGAGTGGGTAAGGGATGAGACCTAGTGCTGGCCTATGGCAAGCATTCTGAAACGCCTACACTCCAACCACTCAATCAGACAATCTGGAAAGAAACCGACATCACCAACGCCACTGACATCGATTAGCTGCCATTTCTTTCAACTTCTCCAGTCCAGCACAGTTGGCGTCACGGAGACCCCTTCCTTGAAGGTGTATAACACCCACAACACCCAAACTCTCCGTGATCTCTTTCACGCCCTTCTGCCAAGTCATGTGCTGTCCACCTCGCGGTTTGCGCCATCCTGAAGGCGGCATGGAGACTAGTATTCGTCTCGGTTGACTGAGTTTCAGTATGCGTAGCACATGGCCGAGCAATCGTGGCCGGTGATGCTGGATGTTTTCCCTGACTGAAGTACCTGCAGCACAACAAAATACCTGTTTTCTAATCGCCACGCTGACGCCATCCAAAACCAGCCACGCTTCTGAGACATCGGTGGTCGAAAACCTGAAGATGCCTCACACCATCTGTCCGCAGAGGCCATGTCTCGCGCCCATACAACAACACAGTCTTTACTGTAGCCTGGTGAACACGACCCTTAAGATCTAGTTAGATGCATTTTGACGCCACATGTGACACAAATTAGCAAACGTGATTCGAGCCTTTGAGATTCTTGCACTGTATTTATCAGGCACACTTTCGTCAGAGCTAAAATAACTACCAAGGTATGTAATGCTTTCCACAACCTCCTTTAATTCTCCCTGAATTCCAAAGCATACGTTCGGAGACTGTACGTTCTGAAGCATGACTTTACAAGGCCAAAAGATGGTATGGTGGTGGTCAGCCTATTCAACAGGGCTTGTGCTTCGCTTTGGCTTTCAAAGATGAAGGCGATGATATCTGCGTACTCCAGATAGACAACACTCTCACCAGCAACAATTTGAACATCGGATCTTTGAATACCGTCCAGCGTTCGCCTCATTATTTCATCAATGACGAAGTTGAACAAGAATGGGGAGAGTGGACATCCTCATCTGACTCCATCTTTTGTAGGGGAGCTCTTAGTGAACTCATCATCATACACTCCCATCCACCTTGAAGTATGTGAATATAGGGGTCGGATTATGTTTACAAACTTCTGGGGCATACCCTGTTGAGCAAGTATAGTACAGAGTGTGAAGATGTGGTCGACGCAGCCTCTACCCGGTCGAAATCCCACTTGATTCTCACGAGTCAGTGTTTCGTATGCCACCGTAAGACGACGAAGAACCAGCGACCCCAGAAGCTTTGTCACGACAGACGTCAAACTAACACCTCTGTGGTTACTACATTCACTGCGAGTACCGTTTTTGAAAATGGGCACTACTATCGATTCACTCCAGTTGTCTGTGACCGTTTGTTTCGCCCAGATGAACCCAAACAGGCTAGACAACCGCTAGCTGAGGAGCCCACTGCTATCCTTGAAAAGAGCAATAATCCAGCGGCGCAGTGCTTGATAGTCCAGTTTGAATTGTAAGTGGTTGCTGAATGTATGTAATCCAAAAATTCTACTATTCTCATTTGAACAGTCCTCCTTTTATAAAGCAAACTTCTCACAAGTTTGCTGACCACCCCCCACCGATTTATCCTGGCTCACTTATTCTGATGAGTCCACATCAGGTGTGAATTTTAGTTCTCTCAGTTTCGCAATAGCCTACAACTGACTGAAAATTGCCTAACAAGATTTAAGCCTTTGTAATGCCACCTGACAGTGAATTCCGTACAGCTAGGTCACTACATCAACACAGCCGGAGCAATTACTGGATCCTTGTTCGAGAAATCGGGTAAAATCAAGAACATCACTTCGTGGACAATTATGCCTGTTCAGTCATGAGAATTCATGCGGTTCACGTGTACAGTTGTGAAGCTGTAGTAGCAGTTCTGATGTCCGGGAATCGAATCTTCTCATGACCATGGATATAGACAGATGACACGGCCCAAAAGGAGCGAAATCCTGTTGCATTACATTTCATCACGATTTTACTGTACGGTAAAGTAAGGCGAAGCTTCAGCCGTCCCGTATGCTTACGCCGAGTAGCATCTGGACTACTTCGCACACTTACTTCATGGATGTGGCTGTAGGTACAATTGATAGTTTTTTAATCCAAACAATCAAGTATGAAATAAATCAGGATTCTCTTCACTTTTTGAATTTCATATATCTGTACTAAAACATAAATATTCAAGGGAAAAATTAGGCCGTTTTGTAAAGATTTTTGAACCGCGTGCTGCCTCCATAAACATAAGAAGTGCAGGCTGACTTTAACCATATGTCAGATAAACAAATTCAGCCAGGAGAGTCTTCATCTGGGGAGGAGAAAGTTGCACGGAAAATCAAGATTTTATACAACTAAATAGCTTTACTGAATCGCCTATTTCATCAATCAACAGCATCAATATTTAAGGAACCTGGAATCTTTGGTTTTCCCTTGGGATTTTTCAAACTGAGGTTTCATTCAATAAGTGAAGCCAATCACTGCTGAAATCTAGGAATCCCTACAGTGCGCATCTCATGAAACTCCAAGGAGCTTCGAGCCCGCGACCTTCCAGCTTCCAGTGCGATTCCTAAACCGTTCGGCTACGAGTAGTCGTTCAGTAGTATCAAATAATTGCGATAAGGCAGGGTATAACGCCGATCACCCTTAAATTCCAGGATCCAACCAACACGCGGTCGCACATGCGGTTTAGGTTTTTCAATGGCTCTTTCTCAGGGGCAGTTTCACTCATTTTTTGAGGTAATTTGTC